GCAGAAGCAAGTGGTGACAAGGAAACAGGGTCACAGAGTAGCGGCATCAGTGGGTAGAGGAAGAACCGTTTGCAAAGAGTTTCCAGGCAGGAGAACTGCGAGACACCACTCCTGGCAAGTCAACAGCACAAACGGGACATCCTTTAGAGAGAGAGAGGCCCGCACTGGATCAGGACATCCAATGTACGTCGTCAACAGTTGATGGATCTAACTTAAGGACATGTGTTGGCTCTTGCCACACCAAGCCTGCTCGCAGCGAATGATGAGACCTGTAGCTCCTTGCTTCTTCGCCTGAGCAGCCGCCTCAGTCGTGCACTTGGTCAAGCAGGAAAACCACCGCAACTCTGCACATGCGGCCCTCTTGAGACAGCTGGGCACTTGGCTTTGCGCAGGTCAACTCCTTCCTCAACAACCGCAACCCACCTAGCAGGACGCCACTGGGACAGCTCAAGACTTCTGAGCGGCACATGCCGCCGCCATGCTGTTTCTGAACGCTGGGGCCGGTACTCCTTGCTGCCTTCGCCTGCAGCCTCCGCATGAGCGGCAACTAAACCCCCGGAGCGACATGTTCAGCAATGCTGAAACTCACTTGTCTCGGACTTTATTTTTTCTGCTCGGGATCCTCCTGAACTCTGTGCAATCTTCTGGCACACTACAAAGGTTCACGATCCCTGCTTCGGCAATGAGATAGGCACACGCCTTGGGCACTGTATAGGTGCCCTGAGCGGAGGCGACCACCACGGCACCCTTGAACTTGGATAACTCCTTCATGCCCAGCCCATTCCACGGTACTCTGACAAGACAACGGCGCCTCATCATGCGTCCAACTTGACGACAAGGCATCATAGTGTTTGACATCGGACCTTTGGGACAGCATCCCCAAGAGCTTACCTAGTTGTTGTTGCCACGGCCCGAGGTCGCAGCTTGTTCCAGAGAGGGGCAACCAACAGGTCGACATCCCCCTTGCAAAGTCGATATCTACACTACTGTGACGGTCAAAACAAGCAAACATCTGTGAGGTTATCTCACTATTGGAAATTCGCCTCTGGTCGGGTGATACCTTCGGTTACGGACTGTGTCAAAGGCGCACTGGTAGACTCCGAACAGCCAAGAATTATGCAGCTGCACTTGGTGGTGGGATGCATTGGGTTCCATGGATTATGGGCCGGAGGGCATCTCGGCTTGTCGACTCATTCGGTCATTCTCCTACTACAAGAGGAAAAAGCCTCTCCGAAGATTCATGCAACGCAAGCCTGCGACATCGCTGCACCTAACGGAGCCAGCATGTTGTTGACAGAGCCCGCCTCAGTGTCGGCCATGCTAAGCTGAATTAACTCAATCTGTTCAGCTCCTGCAAGCCCCTCCTATCCTTTCCGGGCCTCTATGACGAATCCGATCTCGCTTTGCGTTGCCTGGCACTCGCATGCTGAACTTCTACATCGTTCCGGTGCTTGGCTTAAGGAGACTAGTTACGTCCGCTTTTGGATGGGGAATTACGGGAGTCGCATCTTTGCTGCAATCGCTGCGCAGCCAGTGCTGTAGCTCTTGGGGCCACTGGTCCACTATTATACACACAGACATGACGCATTCATGAGTTAATTCTTTGTGAAGTGCCTGCGTAGCTTTCAGTTGCTTTCCAGGATTACAGTTGCCTCATGCATAGCAGGATCGCAAGATTTGGTCGGGACTGGTTTCCACCCGCTCCAGAGCGACGTGATCATCGCACTTACTGGTTGAGTCTGGGTTCAACCACGACAGTGGCAAGCAATTGCCATAATCCGGTACGACTACACTGTACACAGCCACGTGACGAGGGTTCTGTGCCCATTCTAGCCACAACTATCAGCACAAGTCTCCCAACCCCCGAATGTCTCAAGCCGAAAGTTGCTCAGTGTGGACAGCACCAGCAAAAAAAACAACAAAAAGCACGAACAAGGACAACAGTAATATTAGAGTTACCGGCAAACACTCCTCATCAACATCGGCAACATAATCATCAACACCGCCGTCGTCATATTCACCATGTTTCTCGCCATCATCAAGAGCTCCCGCTGGTATCAGAACTACTCCCTTGTTTCTACGGGTGCGACCAAAGCGAGATCGCTTTCGCTGCATCCCATTGTAATCAAGAGCCTTTTTTCTAAAGCTTGGTTCCGGACCTTTCCGTTCGCGGTAACCGACCCATCGTCGTTTACCTGCACTGACCGTCACTGATGTTGCTGGAGGCATTGCCTGTAGCAGCCACCTTCAAGTATCCCAAGTTCCTGTGGCTCTCATCATCAGTCCTGCCAAGCATGTTCATGCAAGCGTTGCATTACCTCACTGCCTCACATGGAGATCGTCATGCCGACCTACCCTTGCACGGCCTGCTGTATGGCTTGAAACAGATGTTGGCTCCTTTGCCTTAGCTTGTCAACAATTCTTCGCAGTGGTCTTCTGCACAACTCTTCAGCCGTGCAGTGTTTCTCCAGACTCGCTAACCGCTGGCCACTAGGCTTTTCGCACGGCTTGGCACAGCAGACAGTCTCAGCCGCAAGCGGATCGTCGTGTCGTGCAAGTGTACCTCTTCCCGAAAACCCCAGGCCCGCAGTGGCCCCAGTGCGAACGACACTCCCACAGCCCCCCTCGGAATCTCTGAAGACACACGATCAAGTCGGAAGTCTACAAGGCTGGAGGGCACCAGGCCCATGCCCACACGCTCCACAACAAACCTGAGAGTATCAGCATTCGAGCTACGCGGCACCGACGAGTTACCTCCCGCCGTTCAGTCGAGCGGCTCTTGGATGCCGGGTTCGCCACTACCTGCACAATCTCCAGCTCATTCTAGCTCGAATAGGTACTGGTCATCCGGGCATCCATGCGTGTGTCTGCAGATGTGGCACAGATCCGCCTGCAGCACTGCTGGCGGCGCCGCCCTCTGGAATCGCACTGGCAGATTGCGGATGCTGGAGACGCATGCAGGTCACTTTACGAGGCCTGAGATTGAGAACGTTGTTTCAGGCCATGACTGTCAAACTCCAACTGCAACAATCGCTTGAAGAGTATCTTTTGGTGGAGAGCCTAGAAAAGATAGACAAGCTACAGGTTCATAGAATACTAGAGATTGCTAGAGCAGGGCTGACCACGTCAGCTTACTCATGAATTGCGATGAGACTATTGTCTCACGATATCGTATCGGCGCGGCACCTAAGAAGCTGTGAGAGTCTCACGCCTGAGCAATTGCAAACGTGATTGACTTTGAGTCCGTTATCAATCATGTCCTGCTGTCAGCTGTACAAAATCTGGCATGCGAACCTCTGCATACTGCTGGCTTCGCTTTTCCGACAATTCTCTTGGCTACGTTTTGAAGACCCCCACACGCATCCCCAGAACTCCAGGACAAGCGCCTGGTCATCTCCGCGGAAGGGTCGCCTGTGTGACAAAGGCCTGTAGCTGTATCCACCTGCACCGTCGCATGAGGCATGTACGAAGTCTCTTTGGCATGAACTTTACTCCAGCTTGGAGTTCCAGCCAAAACAACTGAAGCCGCTGTTTTATCCTCGGCAATGCTCCGCAGGCCTGTAGCGGTTGAGAGTGCAAAGCCTTCACGGTCACAATGTCCCCTATCCGCAACGACCTCGGCACTGCCCTTTACTGCATTTTGGGACATTGCTTTGCCAGGAACGCGGATGCAGCAAGCGAGAGTACAACTCCGCAACTAACAAGGATCCTTGCGTCGAGTCTGCCGATGCTGAATCCTGCCGCAAGAGATATCCGATGAGACAGATCTGCTTGTGGCTGCAACTGTAGCAAGTCAACTCCGTGAATGAAAGGCTCCTTGGAGGACGGAGCACTTTGACCTCAGAAAAACGTCACGGAAAAAACAGCACCCGGGTTTGCAGGCGCAAACATGGAACCCATGTGCTTCATCTGAGCGTTCGGCTGCTGATGTTGTCGCCCGTTTTCTCAACCTAGCCAGCTTGTCATGTCAGGTGTCGGCATGTGGAATCAGATCAACTTGGTTCGGGGCAAGCCAATACGCCCACGTCCCTTTCCCAGAAGCAACCTGTCGGTGGCAGATTGGCATCGGGTTGAAACCTAAGTGGACTTGAAACGCCGTTGAATGATGCACCAGAACGCTTCGTTTCATCCGTCCGGCGCTGTTCTGGCACAACCTACGTGGCCTTGGCATCTTGCCTCTCGCCCACAACGGATTTACAAACTGGCTGCCACATGTCTCGATGATCCTACATTCTTACTGCCTGCCAAGGCGATCGACTGGAATCCAGGGCATCGAAAGACGATCTGTATGGGATCACGAAGCTCGAAAAGAGGAGCTTCCCTTTGCGAACTCATGCCATGCAGGATTTGCTCCTGGCATGACAGTTTGTCGGACATCTGCAGTGAACTGCAGCAAAGGCCATGTCAAAGAATCCTCATGTTATCCACTGTGCGCTTGTGGCACAAACACACAAGCTGCGCAACGATGCGCAATGATGTCATGGACGTCGTTGGTCCAGTAAAGCGGCACTCGCTCAGTTTGTGAACTTTGCTCCTGTGCAATTTGTGAATTGAGCCTGGCGCAGTTAGAATTTCGACAAGACCGGCAGTCGAACCCACATCTTGCGGGCACCTTCACAATGACAGCCAGACAAGGTTGAGCTGGAGCAGCCGTGGCACTACTGAAAGCGAGGGAGTTGGACGACAGCGAGACACAGTACCTTCCACCTGCGACTTCCGGTGCTTAGTTTGAAATACAAGGCTCCGGCGCCCAGCTGTCACGGTAACGAGACATGGCTCTTCGCATTCTGCACAGGTTGATCACAGGCTGTACAGGAAACCCGTTTGCTGCGCTTGGCAGACCATCACAGGCATCACGAATCAGACAGATTTACGAAGCTGATAAACATGTTTGAGGTGCATCTCGGACGCATCTCATCAAAATGGCAGTTAAAGATGCTCATTGTCAGTCCACGTGAGCATGGACCATGTTGGATTTGTCGCACGCGGAGGCTTCCATCTCATGTCGTTGGATCGCGCACCGGATGTCCGACGACCACAACCTTGGTCAAATGCCTTGAGTCTCCATGCCATCTGAATCGGCAGCCCATTACATAATGTATCAAACCCTGTTTCCAACACCTGGCGCACTCCCCCATCTCATCTCAAGTCTCAAAGTCTCAGCCAAAGTATAAACTCTTGCTCTGGCTGTAGGCTCTTCGGCCGAGGCTCGCTCGTGCTTCCGATGTCAATGCTTGGGGGCACCTGAGCGGAGTCGTCCCTGGTACGAAGTAGAAGTAGAATCTACCATGAAGCAAAACCTGCAGATCCAGGCAGAGGATGGGTTACATTCCGGCGCAACCCTCATTCCATCATGACGATTCTCGCCACGACACGGCGGCGCTTCCGAGGCTGACGGTGGGAGGCAGCTGAGCCTCACGTTGGCACAGAGCAGATGCGGCAGATGCGGAAGTCTCGTCCGTGACGATGACAAGTGGCCGGATCGACTGGGGAAATCGGATCTGGAGCTCCGGAAACTCCGGGGTTGCCCGGGGGCGCCCTTGGTGTCCGCTCCCGGCCTGTCCGCTCCCGACCTGATCAGGGCATGCGAAGGACTGGATCACCGTTCCAGCCGTTGCGGACCCTTGCCTCGAGCTCGGCCTCCTTTCCGTATATGAAGTACGAATATGAACAGAGCTCCAAGCAGGATGCCTAACCTCGGGCAAGACACATGCAATTCCTGGGTTCTGCTGCCACAACTGCATCTCCGATCCAACTTGCAGACGAGCTGCAGGAGGACACCACCGAGAGCAGCACCTGATCCAGCGGCCAGCACAGCAGAGGTTGTAAAGGCTGCGGTGTTGCTTCAGCGCCAGAGCCGAGGCACCAAAGACGAAGGTCCTCGCTCCTCCGGAGCCTCAGTGCGGGCACCGCGGCGGGAGCCCGCTTTTCTCTTTAGCCACATGTGCACAGAGCGGACCGCCAGGAAAGCTGCATCCCTTTAGCCTTAAACGATCTTAAACGCGCGGGGCCCGCACCTGCTTGCTCCTTGGGCGGGTCCTGACATCTGACATGGCTTTGCTTTGTTCTCCAGCCCGCAAGATACCATGCAGAAAGCCACTCCTGGCCAGACGTCGGGATCGAGAGCTCCGGGGAGCTAGTTGGCCCCACGACGTTCTTCGCAGGTCCGGCTGGTAGACTTGTAGCTGCACTCGCCTGACAGGATCAACGACTGCACAAAGGCAAGGCGGACTCGCCAGTACAAAACCTTGCTTTCCAATAGTTCAATCAACATCTGGATCACTCTGCTCTGCAATGGTACTTTGGTTCACTCAACTTCTGGCTTCATACACATGCTACTGCCCTGACATCAAGTGACAGGAATGACCGCTCTTGCCTCGCCTGCTGGCGCTCATAGTAATCAAAGAGCCGATGGGTACGAAATGCAGAGCCGGCGGAAGTACGATTCGCCCATTTCAGCCAACACTCGCCAACTACAAAGCCATCTGCTCCATAGTCGAAGCTTGCGCATCCATCTGTCTCGAGGCAGAGCTGTGCACATTCTGCGGGTGAATGCACCTGCAGAAGGCCGCGGCAACTGTTTTGAATTTATGTCATTGTTTACCACCAGGCTTCCCCAGTCCACTGCGGCCTGCGCCCTCAGAACTGCACTCGGCCATTTACTGCTGTAGTCCGAGCAAAGATGATGGCATTCCATTCTGACTGTGGTGATCGAAGGCATGAAGCGAGCATGAATGTCTCAGGCCGAGCGGTCTGCAACAACTCAGACATTCGGATCGCACGTGTCGAGGACTGCTTATGCAAGCCTCTTCCCGACATCGACACCCATGATCTGACAGCCCGATGACACGACAGGTCCAGCACACGACAGAGGCATTCAGGCTCAAGGTCACAGCAAGTATTGTATGGTTGGGAGATGCCCTTCCCGGTACCTTCTATCCTGCATCGCTCGGATCAGCATGCCGGGTTTTGTATGGCTAACTTATGAATGCATGGCTTGTATGAGACGTCGACAAATTCAGTTCGCTCTTACAGTACGTTGCTACCTGCATGACATGGTAAATCACCTGCAATAAACATAGAAGCCTTGCAAATCATGCCACGGCCTGCCGGTGCTGAACATTGCGCCCTTCAATGGACATCGCCACGAAAGGGCCGCTGAAGCTGCTGAGGCTCGACCGATCAGATGCACCGAGCTCCTCAGCTGCACGCCAGTTGCCGCTAGTTCTCGTTCGAGCTTTCGCCACATTTGCACTTGATGCTGAGAAGGTGTCCAGGTTGATGTCCACTGATGTTCGGTCAACCAAGCCTGACATGCGACACGAGTAGGGCGGCAGACACCTGGACAGAAGCCTCCGCCTCCTCTTTCTCCATATATCTCTTTCTGCTCTCGGTGTCTTGCAGCTTATTGCGCACATGGACATGCCTTGGCAAAGGCCACTCGGAGGCCGCTGCCCGCGCGGCAACAGCCAGGAGCCCTGTGCTTCCGGAGGGTACCTCCGCTCACTCCGCTTCACATCGTCACTTCACTGGCCCTTCTGCTCGCGCCTGACGTCCAGGATGCGCTCCTCGCCCGCCAGGTCAGCGTGCGCCGCATCCAAGGCGCGGCGGAGGGACCAGGCCGAGCCTCGTCGTAAACCTGGACGGGCAACAGGAAAGCCAACTATGCTGAGCAGATGATCCCGATCGCACCTTCGCTAACCGAGCACCACGCTGCTACCGCGATCACTACATACCACTACTTTCTGCCGAGTTCTAGCACTACGTATAAGCACTACCGTCACGACTGCCAACCATGAGAGTGACAAGTCCTCCTCTCCACGACGACGACGAGGACGACGACGACTTTCGCTCTGATTGCCACCGCCACTCACTTCCCCACTCACACGACTGGTACTCCTGCTACGGCTGCTGATGCTGCTGCAGCTGCTCCTCACCTCCTCCTCCTACTACTGCTGCTACTCCTACTCCTACTCCTACTCCTGCTCCTACTCCTACTCCTACTCCTACTCCTACTCCTACTCCATTCCTACTCCTACTCCTACTCCTACTCCTACTCCTACTCCTACTCCTCCTACTCCTCCTACTCCTCCTACTCCTACTCCTCCTACTCCTCCTACTCCTCCTACTCCTCCTACTCCTCCTACTCCTCCTACTCCTCCTACTCCTCCTACTCCTCCTACTCCTCCTCCTCCTCCTCCTCCTCCTCCTCCTACTACTACTACTACTACTACAACTAGCCACCCCCCCCCCTCCTACCCACTACCTCGTGCTGCATACGCTTGTGACACACATCCGTTTTACTCGGTATTTACAGCACTTTCGGCATGTAGCAACATCTTATGAAGCCTCAAACATCACCTCCGAGTTTTGAAACTCCGGGATCGTTTTCTGAACTTTTCTTTTTGGGGTGGGTGGGAGGGTGCGGGAAGAATGATGACGACATTGTTACGCCGACACCCCGGACAACATCTCCGGAAGAGCCATTTTACTCGGTATTTGCATTGCTTTCGTGACGTCAGCCCTCTTTCTAGTCGCCAAGCCTACCTCTGAACTTTGCTACGTTGTCCTTTGCCTTTGCGAGGGCTTTCAGCGAAAACTCGAAAATGGGTGGTCATAACTGTTCGAGGCTGCCTGTACGTTATCAGCCCCCTCCACCCCCACCCCCCAAAGCAACGCATGCAAAAGGGGTAGTGGGTAGGAGGGGGGGCCGCCTACTACTACTACTACTACTACTACTACTACTACTACTACTACTACTACTGCTACTGCTACTGCTACTACTACTACTACTACTACTACTACTACTACTACTACTTCTACTTCTACTTCTACTTATCTTATTCTTATTACTATTACTCCTACTACTACTACTACTACTGCTACTACTACTACTACCACCACTGCCACTACCGCTGCCGCTACTGCTCCCACTGCCACTACGACGACTACGACGACGACTACTACTACTACTACGACTACTACGACGACTACTACTACTACTACTACCGCCACTACTACAGCTACAGCTACCGCCACCGCCACCACAACCTGCACCACTGGCAATTCTGATGAGGCCTACTACAAGCACGACTGCCTGCATACTACTAGCGACTACTTAGAGTCACGTAGTTCGTGGCGAGCGCAACACAAAGCACTTTCCAATTTTTCCATCAGCTCTGGCCTGCACATGTAAGGCCTCGTAGCTGCTGCAAGGTCTGCGCAGGGCCCCGGGCCACCATGACCTAGCGTCGGATCTGAGGTATGCGGTATGCATGCGCATCAAACCGCAGGAATTGTCAGGAGATGGTGCTGGGAACCTGCCTGCCGGGCGGTGGCTGAGTACATGGCGAGGCAAACTTTGTCGTAGCCCTGAAGGCGAACACAAGCTCTTCAAATCTCGTTCCCAGTACTCAGTACGAGATACGAAGGCGAGCAGTGTCAGCGTTATACGCACGCAGTAGCGTCCACATGACATGCACAGCCAGAGTTCACCACAGACCACAAGTAACTACTTCAGCCCTGTGGTTGCACTTCAACAAAACTTCGAAGTGTCGCGGCACAGAACAGCATGCATCAACCGCAATCGGAAATAAGCGATAACAAACATGGGGGCCGGCTCATGCACCAGGGCACAAATCTATCGCATGTAACATCTCGCACTGAAGCATGGCACAAGTCTCTACTGGCGAATTGCACGAGCCTCCTTGCAGATCGGAGCTGCCGTCTGTATCGTACCATCTATCCTCCGCATGCACGTTCTGTGAGCGTAGGTGCGCTGCGGGAATGGGATACAAAGAACACGCTGGCTTGTCCCACAGACCTAAACACGTGACATAACCGCTGCCAGGGCGCAGTTTCAACAATCCGGCCGTCGTCATCTGCACCGATGGTGCTGTTGGCAGGGGTGCATCCAAGGCCCGGCGCACAGCCCGGAGGCCCGCCAAGCGCACGTGGAATGGGCCACTCCTCGGATCGCAAGCAGAGGATCGGAGTGCCACAACTCTCACGCCAGCGGGCTTTTTCGGGTCACTGGCTTGCAGCCAGCAGGCTGCAGGATCACATTGATCTCCAATGTCGCAATACGGCTTCGATCTAGCACGCATCCTTCACAAGCCTCAGCCCAATTTGCTGGAATGCAACACCGAGATAACAAGTATGCCGACTGCAAGTTCTGCAAACAGCGGCCTTGGCATCTGCTCGGCTGATGCTGAAGTCCTCAGCAAGAACGACGGGTGTTTGGCTTGCGATTTCTTGGCTCTTGGCGGCGAACGTCTCAGACCGTACAAGCCACACGCTTCAAAACATATCCAAAGGCTGTTGGCACCCTCCACTTCTTGCTGCATCTGGCCATGTGTCCCGCAACGGAATGAAGACACTGCAGGAGTGAGGCGGACCGCCCTGTGAAAAAGGCACCGCGAAGGCCGACTCGTATGCCGACGACGAGTTTGCCTTCGGCAAGTGCAAGATGACTCGTGCGAAGTCATGTTGTCGAAGCACCCGCGAGTGGCACACGAGCTGTTGCAGCTGGGCTGCATCTTTCAATATCAGCTGCAATCCAAGCGGAGCTGCCCGAGTAGAGTTTGCCATTGGCTCTGACTGAAGGTCCTCACAGAGGTCTATCTAGGCCCAGGCAGGGAAGACCCGGCGCAGGGCAGACCCAATGCAAACACACAAATTCGCTGAAATCTGGTCATTTTACAGCTCACATGATGCAATAGCATCTCAACTGGACATAACATGTCCATAATGACAGCTGTCGCAGATGTCCAGCAGTAGCCCAGCACATGCCGTGAGATTCAGCAGCGGCCTGCAAGCTGGCTCTTGCGAGGATCAAGCATGAAGCTCCTATGTCCTATGCTCAGATTTTCAAGATCACAGGCTGAAGACAGACTTCAGCCTGCAAAACATGCCCTCTTGCTCCGCAAACTAGAACGGTCAGAAGTCAGAGGACGTACGAGCAGGAAGTATTCAGAAATCAGCCTGAAGGATGCCCGCACGCTGGAGGCACCGCCCTCTTCGAGGTCATGACCACTGAAGACCATGGCTTCCCCAGAAAAGGACCTCTGTTTCAGGTGAATGCGGGCTAGCTGCTGGAGTCACGGATAGCCGACAGACAGGACACTGGGTCACCCCAACAACACGGCCAAAGCCTCCAAAGCCCTGAAACACAGGGGGAAGAGGAAGGGTCCATGAAGCAAGGCCTGCAGCACGTTGCCAAACACGCCTGTTTTGTCCTAAGGATGCTTACATGTACAAGTATCAACATGTATCCAAGCGGGACAGGCCAGACAGCTTCTCTACTAGCATTTCCTGTGTCTGCATCAGCCCGGCTCTGTTGTTGCTCAACGCTGTTGGATTTGGGTAGCGAGCTGCATCTGCGGCCTTTTGCAGGACCGTGCCTTCCATCACAAATCGGGGCGTGATGACGTTTTTGCCCGTCTTCCCACCATCTTTGGGAGATCTTATCTTTTCAATTAAATGGGGCCGGGAAGCAAGCGTCCCGTGGCCTTGCCACCTCGCTCTGCGATCCAGCCGGGCCAGCCCTTCTCCGCACCCGAGAGTCTCAGCCTGGGCTCTGCAGCGCGGCCCTCTAAACCCTAAACCCTAAACCCATCTCTCTGCGCTTTGGAGCAAGACTGGGCCCCGGGCCTTTCTGGAACCTGGAGAAAGGAGCCAAGATGGTGCACGACACCGTTGCGCAAGACCTGCTCCGCTCGGATCACCTGTCGAGACATGCTTCAATGGTTTCGCTGCAAGAACCATCCGGTCCCTTGCCCATCCCTGCCTGGATGCCGTTGACGAAGCTGTGGTGCTCATGGGTCACGACCTCTGTTTCTCTGCTTGCGGGTGACACGAGGGCCGCTCAGGGCAGCATCGCTCAGAAGTCACTGAATGAAGCTGGAGCCATCCTTCCCGGCCTCCAGCCGTGCACCCTCCATGCTCTGCACTGGATGGCCCTCCTCTTGACGGCCAACTGCCAAGTGCAACTTTAGGAGATCTCGCAGGTCTGGTCCTCAGATGCTCCCGTCTCTTAGATTCCAAAGCACGAACTCGAGCGAAGAATGGCCTGCTTCGGCCCAAACGCAATAAATTGCGGCACTGGGGGCGCTCCAAAAATTCTTCCGGCGAATCGAACGCATCGTCTGTGGGCGCAAAGACCGTCAAGAAACCCGAAACGTTTAGAAACGAAGCCAGGCCAGCTTTCCTGATCACAGGCGGAGCGGCCGCGATACAGAACGTGAAGCAAGAGGAGTACACCGCTGCCGAAACACTAGTTTTACTCTTATCGGAGAATAGCAGACGAACCCAACGGCGGACCCTGCATTGCACAGCTGCTGCTGCGAAACCTAGAAACTGAAACCTGCAGCCACTGAGTTTAGCAGAAAGAGCCTGAAGGAGCGACACAGCAGGGGAGACTTCAGCCCCCCAAGCAGCTCCGGATGTTGTGGTACCCTCTCTTACTGCGGAACCTGTTCGATGGCGTCATTGCCCTCACTACTGGTGCTTTACCAGTAGTGACGCCATCCAAGCCGTGCAAGTAAGGGCATCAAAGACATTCGAAGGCTCGTCGGCACTACATGCTAACAAAATGCTACCTACAAAGATGAACTAAAGGGGCTTCGCTGCAATGTCTGTATAAGCTGTGTAAGAGCACTTCTGATGTCGGCCATGGGTCCGCAAAGCTGACAGAAAAATCGAAAGGCTCTCGTCTGCTGACACCGCATCCAGCAAAGTTTGCCCACGAAGCTCAACAAAAGTCAGCAAGACGGCTAAAGCGACCTGGGCTGTTCAGAAGGCTCCAAGCGACAACGGCTCCAAACAGCACTGTGCCTGCGAGCTGCGGTTCTGACAGCGCGCATATCACGCAGGCCGCCCAGTAACATGCAACATCAATTCTAATTTTAGGTTAAATAATCTGTGCAGGGCATTTGAGCCATTCATGCGCGCAAGCGATGACGCGAGCTTTGCAGGCTGCCGGTCACAGGCACACTGGCACGCTCAGAGCCGGTGAAGCCCCCGGGTTCCACAGCAACTACCTGGGCAGTAGGCACCTGTGCGGAGCCATTGGGGTTGCCATGCAGAAGGGCGTCTGTGGTCGCCTCTGATCCTGTCCAGGCAACACGGCTCAGGTCCTTCAAGATGCGCTTTCAACCCAAGATCCCAGCGGAAGGTGAAGATGCCGCCTCGTGCGAGACACTCTCAGATCAAACAGGAGGCATGCGCAGATGTGGCACTGGATGAAGAGTTCTTGCTGGATGAAAATATAACATGAAGCTGATCCATGAGGTCGAGGTCTTTCTCCCTCTGCCGTTTCTAGCATGGTCTGCCTACTGTCTGCCTGTTGCAGCAGCCTGGCCACCTTGATCGATCACGAACTGGGTCTCCTGCGGCTCACACATTCACCGGTGAGGAATGTCGTCTGTGAACTAGACTTGGCAATAGAAACGTATCACATGCGACTGTTGCAGCAACCTAGCGCATCAATCAACGTACCGAATCGGGAATCCTATCAACAGCAGCTAAGGCTAGAGAGGCTTGTTTTCCCCAGAGTCCGTCTCAGACGGAGAGCCGTTGGCATCACCTCGCATCTAATTCAACCAGCCCAATCGGGCAGAGTTCAGAAACTGGAACCTTCGAAAGTTCAACACTCCTTGGGGTTTCAGGGCATTGGCTGTAGGTACCTTCAAGTTAGGCCAGCTGTGCTTGCTCAAAGAACACAATCAAGCTTTGTTAGGCTAGGCGATCTCTAACCTGCCGTTCCAGAAGCAAAACATACCTCTTCTTAATTGGCCTGGACTGTGCTATAGTGGCTGAGCTCACCGCAGTCACCTTCCTTCTTCACACGCAAGTACTTTTGAGATGCTGCGGACCTGAGCCACTGGCACGTCGCTGCGGCACCCTGCAATTGCGGGAGACCCGTGGGCCGCAGACATGATCCGAACGTTCTCCCCCAGTCTGGCTGGGCTCTCCTGGTGAAAGCATAGAGCTGCCCAACCGAAGCGCTCTCTCCTTCTTACCCCCTTCTTCTTCTCCCAGGCTCAAGGGCGAGTCAAGTCCCCCCAAGCATCAAGCCCGCGCGCTTCTTGCGGATCATTGCAGGGAGGAGTGATATGATGATGGCAGTGGTTAACCGGAAAGGCAGAGTACATATTTTGGCATACAAAAGCTGGCGGCCTTCCCCCGGAGTTGATGTAATTTGGTGACACGAGCTCTACTAGTTACTAACACATGTTTCCAGCAACTGCTTCTGGACACATGGAAGTACTTATTGCACCTACACCAACCCCTTCATCCTTGCTTGCTTGCTTGCTTGCTTGCAAGGCGTATGGGAAGCAGAGCACGGAACCCTGCCCCCCTGCGCGCGAGCGCTACGCCAGTGTCCAAGTTTGGTGTGAGACGCGAGGTGCAGCGCCAGGTCGGGAGTGGATCGAACGTCCCCGATACAACAAGCATGCGACCCTTTAGTTCCCGATATCACCCCCCTGCCTGGCTGAGCACTTTGTGTTGGTGCAAGAGGCATGTAGGTATTCTACATGGTGGCCGCATATCCCCGAGCTGTTTGCGTTCCGCGGAAGCAGTACACCACTTCGTGCAACAGGGTATGCGTAGGCTCGATTACTGTGGCTCGGGGCGGCTCCTGTTCAGTCTTTCCTAATTTGGCTTCATCCTCTCTCTCTCTCTCTACCGGGCGTAGAGGAAGGGCCAGCGTCCAGGGCCCCCCCCCTGTGCGAGTCCGCACACCCGCGTTTCACGGGTGGTTTCATCCCCCGTCGGTTTGACTGAAAGGGGCTCGGCTTTACTGGTAAAGTGAAAAGGCCAGTATTTGTTCCCCCCCCAGGATCGACGGTTCCCAAACGTAACTAGAACGGACATGCAGTTCCTCTACTGGCCTTCTCCGGGGGTAAGAGGAAAAGGCATGCCATCCCCCGTGGCTTCGCACAGGCAACTCTGAAACATCGAGGCCGGAATCATACTGAATTGGTGCCTCCTATCCCCCGAATTCAGTTGCGACAGGTGTGTTGAAAAGACACCAGGATTAGGGCTTTTGTGCAGCCCGTTGAGTGAAGGTTCGCCTGAGTAGGACCATTTCGGCCCGCACAAAGAATTCACACCAAGACGCAGCTTTGCTGGTACTTTCAGGCATACGGTGAGGTCACAGCGAAAGACCGAAGGTATGTGCATGTGCAAAACACTAAGGTTGCATTAGGGGAACGAGGGCGGGTCAGCGTCATCCCCCGTAGTCCAAAACAAGCAAACGCCCCAACAGAAAACACCAAAAGAACACATCCCCCCCGCTCGCTCCCTCAAAACTTTTTACACACGCCTTCACTCACTTTGTTCAGCATCGTCGTTCATAGCTGGCCCGCATGTGTTGCTGGACTCGTTGCACGGCCCTCCAGTGTGCGTTCGGCCGGAGGTTGGCTCTCAAGGGACTTCGGCTTGGTGAGCGAGGCCTTTGTCCCCCGACTGCTGAGCTTGACCCGGCCGTGGGCTGTGACGTCTCCCCCCGAGTCAGACTGGCATCGTCTTGGTCAGCGTGTTCCTCGTGACTGTCGCTTCCCCAGTCCGGTGCGTCTTCGGGAAAGTCTGTCTCCCCCACTGTTGGGAGTTGCCTTTCTCCCACTGTTGCACATGCTTGGCTTGACCGGCTCGGTTCATCTTCTGGCTTGCTCTTCTTGTCTTTGCGTTCATCTGCGTCTCCGCGGCGGTGGCGACCTTTCCCCTCCTTTTTTGTTTTCTTGTGCACCTTCTTCTCCCCCTTCGTGGTCTTCTCGACGTCCTTCTTGGCCTTCTTGTGCACCTTCTTATCCCCCTTTGCGGTTTGCTCGAGCTTGGGCTTCTCTGGCTCATTCCCCTCGCGTGTCTGGAAAACACGTTTCGCCTGGGATAGGAGTGGAGCAACTTTCCACGGAAACCTCCCCACGTAGATCCGAAGCTCCTCTTCCACACGTGGGTTGTGTTTCCCCACCAGCTCCACCAGCTTGTCGGCATTTCTGCCGGTGGCTCGCCTTTCGTTGTGTCGTTGCTGGTAGCACTTGTAGTCGGCGATTTCGTCCTCAAGCAGCGGTTCCCCCGTCGCCCAGTCCATGTATTGCTGGGAACGCCAAAGGAAGTGGATATCTCTCCCGATCCACCGGTCCAAAGGCCCTGGCTCATACAACAACGCCAGGCCACCTTCCGTCTCGAACCGGACGTAGTTTGCCCATGGTTTTCCGCTTCCCCCGCCGTCGGCGTCTTCAGGGTTGCGGGTGCTTCCCCCGCCTTCGGCGTCTTCGGGGTTGCGAGTCTGTACCAGAACTTTCTGCGCAGCTCCCCCCCGTCTGAGGTCACATGCTCTCCCCGTACTGGTGAAGGTGCCGTTGGCGACCATGGTCTTGTAGCAACCTTCCCCCGGCTCGTGAGCTTTGTGGCAGAAGGGGCCCTGCAGGCATGCTTTGCAGGTCACCCCCATCTCTTTGAGCACCTCAGCCAGCTTGCATTGTTCTTCCCATGAGTGTTTTGGCTGACTTCGCAGATGGAGACCGTGACTGTCGTCTCCCCCTCTGCTTGTCCTTCCCCCCGGCTGTGGGGTTACTTGAAGAGCTTGCCATCGAGGTAGACGTGGTACCGGTACTTTGCGAGATCACCGAGAGTTCCACCGGCACAAAGTATGACCTTTCCCCCTACTGGCGGGCCACCTTCTGAAGAAGGGCCGCGGTCAGGTTCCAGGTAGAGCGATCCTACCAGGGGCCTCTTAAACAAAGTGGCGACGGATATGTGGACTCAAGCAATGCTGAAAAAGACAGGAGGGCTCTCCTGGAGTCACAGTCCAGGCCAACCCCCTGCCTCCCCCCCCGGCAAAGGGGCGTTACAGACCCCAAAGCACAGGTGCATTACTTGAGCCAAAACTCTCTCTCTCTCTCTCTCTCTCTCTCTCTCTCTCTCTCTCTCTCTCTCTCTCTCTCTCTCTCTCTCTCTCTCTCTCTCTCTCTCTCTCTCTCTCTCTCTCTCTCTCTCTCTCTCTCTCTCTCTCTCTCTCTCTCCTGGGCATGAGGACGGGTTAGCGTCCCCGGGCATCATGCCCACCCACTACCCTCTCTCTCTCTCTCTCTCTCTCTCTCTCTCTCTCTCTCTCTCTCTTTCTTTCGCCCAGCTCTCTCTCTCCTCTCTCTCTCTACCGGGCTTGGGGTTCAGGCCAGCGTTCAGCGCCATGGAGAAACAACAGAGTCTCACAACAGAAAATTGCATCATGCACTCTGAGGGCCCGGCCGAGGGCACGCATGTGTGTATGTAAACCAAGGGCAGGTAACTGCATCTCAAAGGACAGGTACACGATGACATTTCACAGTACATCACATTTACGATACATGCTCCCCCTCTGACTGCACTGGTTGCTTTCTACTGTGGCTTGCACGGGCTCCCCAGCTAGAAGGCAACTGAGCTGAAAGGCTACCTGATGAACAAACACAGGGTTCTCCCCCTAGCTAGTATGGCCCGTGCTTGCCATAAAAGGCTGCCTGTAGGCGCCTACGGCGGTGGCTCCCCCCATCGTCATCATTTGGACGTGGGCTTCTTGAGCGGCCTCTCTCACTGTGGGCTTGCCCGGGTCCCCCTCCGTGCCACTGTGCGGGCCAGGGGAGAGTGGTGCCCTGGCTTTCGCTTTGAGTCGGGAGGGTCTCCATGTCCCCCACTTCGTTGACCGCCTGTTGCAGGCTGGCAGTCATAAGCGCTTCCATCTGGGTCGCTGTAAGTGCTCCCCCTTCCATCGCTGGGTTCACTTGTCCCCGGCGTCGGTGGCGTGCAGGTCCGTCCCCTGGGCGGTACTCTCGCGAAGCTGCGCGGTGGTGCCGTCGGCGTTCTCGGGTTCCTGGCTGTAGTCCTCCTCGGTGTGCTCGCGAACCCG